CTCTCTCACTGATGGCAGGAGGCGTTTTGGAGTGGTGCTGGCCCCTTATAGGGGTGCTTGCACATTGCCATGCCTGTGGCACTGCTTTGGATAATCTCCTGTCAAGGGTGTATTGGAGAGGGCATGTTCGCAGGAGAACATGGAGGTGGGATGCTCTTTGTCAGGAAGGTCTGAGCTACTGTACTGCAGGAGGGGACCTGCAGCTGCCCAGGAAAACACCTATGCAGGCTGGGATGAAGGAGATGGGTCCCCAGGAGAATTTGGGGGGTGAGACATGCTATTAAAAGCTAGGTGGAGAGTGTACATGTTTCACTGGTTCTCACAGGTGTCCATGTATGTATGCTAGGGGGTGGGGAAGGATAATGGCGCCTACCGGCTCTTTTGTTCTTGGAGAAGTCTCCCAATTATCACTGCCCCTCCAGCGTATACTCTGAGCTTAGTAAATGAATCTCCACCTGTATACCCCAGGTGTCTTTGAAACTGGTGCTTCTATGCTATATCTCAGCAGGGCTGTTTGTTGTGCTTTCTCTTAAGGGCAGGGATTCTGTGTTCCTGGCTCTTGCAGAGCTGAGGCTAATTTTTAGAGTTCCAGGTGTTAAGCCCCACTGATGATTAGGCCCTTCTGATATTTAAAGCCAAATTTTGTGGGGATTGGCTTCCCTGTGCAGGTTCCTTCTTACCTGGGTGTCTGGTTAGGGGGTCTGCCCCTCTCTGCACTGGTGGTGCCCCTCCCACCACACACAATCCCACTGATCTGTTTGGCTCCTGACGGCATGTCTGCCATTCCTACCCTTTCAACGTGGCCTCTTCTCTACTTTTAGCTGTGGAGAGACTGTTCTGCCAGTCTTTGTATCATTTCTGAGATATTATACTGACGTGGGTATTACCTAGCTGTATCCATGGGATGAGGTGGACATTGAAGCCTAGCACATTGCCATCTACCTGGAAGTCCTGATGGGTTGTTACTAATGTATAAACTGTGGAACTTCTGCAATCAAGATAGAGAATTTTCATCACCTGAAAGTTCTCCCATGTCCTTTTACCTCCCCTCTCCCTAGCTCCACAAATTAAGTTTCATATGCTTATTTGCCATATGTATATCTTCTTTGGTGCATGCGTGTTCATATCTTTTGCTCATTTTTAAATTGGGTTCTTTTCCTATTTTTGTGTGTTTTTAATCATAGGTTATTTTACCTGTCTTAGAATTTCATGTAAATGAACTTAGACATACTATGTCTGGTTTCATTTGTTTGGTATAATGTTTTTGAGCTTTATCTTTGAATATTATACATATCAGTATTTTATTCAGTTTTTACTGGTGAAAAGTTTTGCAGTATTTTTGGATATGCCACATTAGTTCTTTCTCCTGTTTTTATATATATTGGTTTCTCTCATTTAGCTTTTACTAAGAAAGGTGGATTTTCTGTGTAAGTCTTTGTGTAAATATATATTTTCATTTCTCTTGGGTAAATTCCTAGGGATAATTTCTAGGTTTATGATAAGTGAGTGTTAGCTTTTTGTGAAATTGACAAACATTTCTTCAAAGAGGTGGTGCCATTTTACTGCATGCTAGGAAGTGTTCTAGTTGTTCTGCATCTTCACCACCAGTTGACATTTGTCAGTCTTTTTAATTTTTGCCACTCTAGTAGATGTGTAGTGGTATCACACTGTGGTTTTTATTTGCATTCCCCTAATCTACATAGTAATGTTGATTATCATTTCATAAGCTTATTGGCCATTTGCATATCTTGTGATTTTTCTGGTCATCTTTTGCCCATTTAAAAAAAAAATTTTTTTTAACATTTATTCATTTTTGAGAGACAGAGAGACAGAGCATGAGTGGGGAAGGGGCAGGGAGAGAGGGAGACACAGAACCCGAAGCAGGCTACAGGCTCTGAGCCATCGGCACAGAACTTGATGCAGGGCTGGAACCCACGAACTGCGAGATCATGACCTGAGCCGAAGTCGGACGCTCAGCCGACTGAGCCACCCAGGCGCCCCTTTAAAGCATTCTTAAAGGAACTGATTTGGCACAAATTTTAATATAAGTAAACTATTGAGAAACAGATATGTATCTTTTCCCCCCTTAACAGGAACCATGTCCTGTTCTGACCATAGCTTTTTCAGTCCTAATCTAATGCTCAAAACTTGATGTGCTATCTTGCTATACAACTGAGCATAAACTTGTTTTTTGAAGGAAGATAGTTTCTGTCAATATATTATCTGATAAATTTTTTGTGTATGCCCATTTTTTACCTGGATTATTTATGTGCTTGTATTTAGTTGTGATAGTTCTCTACACACTCTGGATTCAAGTTATTTGGTAGATATATGTTTTACAGGTATTTTCTCTGAATATTTTGCTTATCTTTCCATTTTCCTACAAATGATTTTTAAAGGACTAAAGTTTTTAATTTTGTTAAATTTAAAATTTTTAGGGGCGCCTGGGTGGCGCAGTCGGTTAAGCGTCCGACTTCAGCCAGGTCACGATCTCGCGGTCCGTGAGTTCGAGCCCCGCATCGGGCTCTGGGCTGATGGCTCAGAGCCTGGAGCCTGTTTCCGATTCTGTGTCTCCCTCTCTCTCTGCCCCTCCCCCGTTCATGCTCTGTCTCTCTCTGTCCCAAAAATAAATAAACGTTGAAAAAAAAAATTAAAAAAAAAAAAAAGACTGCTTTAAAAAATTTAAAATTTTATGTTAAAAAAACTTTTTTTTAAATTTTACGTTTGTTTATTTTTGAGAGACAGAGTGAGACAGAGCACGAGCAGGGAGGGCCAGAGAGAGGAGACACAGAATCTGAAGCAGCCTCCAGGCTCTGAGTAAGCAGTCAGCACAGAGCCTGACACGGGGCTTGAACCCATGAACTGTGAAATCATGACCTGAGCTGAAGTCGGACACTCAACCGACTGAGCCACCCAGGCGCCCCTAAAATTTTTATGTTTTTTTAACAAACTGGTTCATGCTTTTTGTTGCCCTAAGAAATCTTTGCCTACCCCAGAGTTGCAAAGATTTTCATCTTTTTTCTTCTAGAGATTTTATAGCATTAGCTTTTATATTTAGGTTTTGGTTCATTTTGAGTAGGTTTTTGTGTATGGTGTGAGGTTAACTATCAAGGTTCATTTCTTTCCCTTCAAATCTCCACTTCCAGTACCTTTTGTTGATAACACTGTCTTTACCCCCATCAAATTACCTTAACAACTTTGTTGAAAAGCAGTTGGCCATATATGTGTGGTCGGTTTTTGGATTTTCAGCTCTGTTCCATAATCTGTGTGTCTGTCCCTACATAAATACCATATTATCTTGATTACTGTCACTTTATAGTAAGTCTGAAAATCATGTCTTCCAACTTTTTTTCTCCTTTCTGATGCTTATTTGGCTATTGTAGTTCCTTTGTTTTTCCATATACCTTTTAAATCAACTTATCAGTTGCCACTTAAAAAACTTGATTGAGATTGTGTTGAAATGAGAAATTAATTTAGGCAAAATGAATGTGTTAACAATTTTGGATCTTCAAATTATGAGCAAAGTTTAGCCCTCTCTAGGTCTTTTAAAATTTATTTCAGCAATGTTTTATAGCTTTTAATGTGGAGGTTTTGCACTCTTTTGTTACATTTTTTTTCCTATTTGACCTCTTTTGATATTAGTGTAAATGAAGTTCTTTCCTTCATTTTCTAGTTGTTCACTATTACACCTGATTATCTTTGGATGATTGCTAGAAATTTTATCGAATATTTATAGAAATAATTTGACACTCTGGGTGATGTTATTTTAACGAAGACTGAATTTCCTTCTGCTTCTGTCCAGATGTTAGACTAGATGCAGATCACTTTAATCCACTTAGGGATTGAGCAGATTCAAAGTGGGACTTCAGTGCTAAAAAGGGCTTTTCTATTTCCTGTTCATTCTTCACTTAGGGTATAGCCCTTCAGAATCCAACTGAAATTTTGAGATCTCCACCAAAGCCTCCCCTCTTTGATTGACACGAATTTCAGTTTGTATGCCTCCAAGCTTATAAAGATTGCCAAAAGCTATACTCAGCTTCTTACCTCTCAATCATTTTTTTTTTTTTTTGGCTTTCATTTGGCAATCACCTCAATGGAAAAAGTTTCCTAAAATACTTGAGTCAGCTCTTTTGTCTTCTTTCTTATAACTTATCTCAAAATCTGTGACCATGGTATCTTTCTGAGGCCTTCAAATCATTCCTGCTGTCTTAAAAAAAAAATCTATGTGCATGTCTATATCTATATGTGTCTCCCTTTTTTCTTAGCTATTTTCAGGAGTGTTGCTCTGAGACACCCTAATAAGTCATTGCCAGAAGTATATTTTTCTTCTTGTCCCCTCCATTCTTCCATCTCATTCTCCACTAGAATATAATATTGTTCTCTGTATCTCATTTACTGCTGTATTCCTAGCACTTAGTATACTGCCTAGCACAAAATAGCACAAAAATATCTAGTCAATAGATATTTGTCAAATTAAAAAATGAATTATACATTGACATTTTCTGTGAAAAGATAGAATGGAAATTCGGAAGAAAATATCTTCCCTGTTATTTCTCATAGCTAAGATATAGCTATTCTTTAGCATAATAGGGTGAGTTCTGAACTTGAATTCAGGACCTTTATAGTTCTAGTGCCTTTTTAATTGATATTCCCTCAAAATGTTAAATAACATCTTTTCTTTATCCATTTGTAAATTATTTATTACTCTCTTATTCATGGAAATAGTTTCAACTGTTATTATAAAGTTAAAGAGTTTTCAAGGGAAAAAATAAAAAAAGATAAAAAGGACATTGGAATTAATGTTCTAATTAACTAATCAAAATATTTAAGTATAAATATAGGTTTGTAATTTTTATGATGGTTGTAATTCTTCCAGTGAATACAATCAAGGCAAATAGCTTGTTATCATGTTTTAAGAGGTAAAGATGAAGAATTTCATTAAAAATTACATTTTGCATAGTACATAAATGTCTACCTGTGTTTTTCTCCCTTTCCTTTAGAGCCATATTAAGTGCCAGATCCAGTTATTTTGCTGCAATGCTGAGTGGCTGCTGGGCTGAAAGCTCCCAAAAGTGTATTACTCTTCAAGGGTAAGCATAATTTTTACAAGGCAGCTTGACTGCAAATAATACTTCATACAGAACACTTCTAATGAATCTGTTTTCTCCATATATTCATTGAAATGTTTCTCATGTTGTGGAATTCAATGAAGTACATCTTCTGAAAATGAGAGATAGTAGGGAACATTTAGTAATAGAGATAGCGTGTTAGTCTTCCCAGACTGCTAAAATAAAATATCACTACTGAGTGGCTTAAACAACAGAAATTTATTTTCTCAGAATTTGGCAAGATCAGAGTACCAGCAAGGTTTGTCTTATGAGAGCTCTTACCTTGGGTTGCAGACAGCTTATTCTCTGTGTGTGCTTAATGGCCTTCCCTTAGTGCATGGGGGCAAGGGGAGGTGAAAAGAAGGTAGAGGGAGAGAGACAGAGAGAGCTCTCTGGTTTCTTCTATTTTAGCACCTCAGGGCAGGGCCCCATCTTATTATCTAATTTAACCTCAATTCCTTATAAGCCCCATCTCCAAATATAGCCACATTGTGGAGTTAGGCCTCAGTATATAAATTTGGGTGCGTGGGGAAACACAAACATTCAGTATGTAAAAGGTAGTTTCTTTTTTATCTTTTAAAGAATAATTTGGATAGGTGTGGATTTCATTGACTTACGAGGCAATGGTGTATCTACACAATTTGTGGCAGTTTATATAAACTGCTAAGATAGTTATTAAGAGATAAACTAGTACCTTAAATGATAAAAAGGACCCTTTGTTTTTTTAGTGTTTATTCATTTTTGAGAGAGAGAAAGACAGAGCATGCGTGGGGAAGCAGCAGAGAGAGGGAGACATAGAATCCAAAGCAGGCTCCAGGCTATGAGCTGTCAGCACAGAGCCCAATGTGGGGCTCTAACCCACAAACTGTGAGATCATGACCTGAGCTGAAGTCAGACACTTAACCGACTAAGCCACCCAGGTGCCCCAAGAAGGACCCTTTTTTGGTCACAGATAATCACTGTGAGATTCTGTAGTGTACAGTATGGGGAAGGGCTTTCTCAGTAGGAAAAATGCCTGGGAGTTCTGAGGGAACCTCTCAGCCCTGCATCTTGGCAAGAATCTTGGGTACGGCATAGTGATAGTGGCAATTCCATGAAAATGGATGCATGGAAATTACTGATAAATTCTTAACCATTTATTTGTCACCCTGACCTATAATTTTGGGTCTTCTTGGTTATAATCATCTGGTTCTCTTACTAAGTAGAACAAATCTCCAAATGCCTGTCATTTTGTAATTTTTCACTCTATAAAAAATGGATTTTATATGCCAAGCTAAAGAGTTTATTATCCTGGGTAAAAGGGATGTATAGATAGAGCAGTTGGTGACATTCTGTTATCACTATTGAAAACACTTTGAAAAGTATACGTATCCTACTGATAAGATCTCTTCCTTTATGATGAATTTAAAATATCTGCTAAATAAATAGTGCTAGTAGAGGCTAGAATCTTTCTAAGTGTGCCAATCCTAGGGATAATTATATTGGTGTAATTTTGGAAAATTTTAGATGTTTTAGACATCATTTTAAAAAACTGTCAATCCACCCTCCTTAGAAATGAATTCAACAGAAATTTAAATGGAGAGAGAACACTAGTTTGACTCAAAATGCAACTTCTGACAGTCATTAAAAAATCACGTGATTCTGTGTAGTGAGAAAAAAGTCAAAAGAAGGTGTGATTATGGGATCTCATTCTACAGCAAGGGAAAGTAATTTACAGAAAGCACATGTCTGATTTTTTCCTAGAAGAAATCTTAGTTCCTTGTAGGTTTAGTGACAGTTTTTACTATCTGATGTCTATTAGGTAGCTATTTCTTTCTTCCTTTCTCCAAATAGATTTTGTCCTCAGGAGTAATAGTAATGCCATGTTTTTTCTAGGCTTCTTCCACATTTACTATGCACTTTGATTTTTAGAATCAGTCTTTGAGAGAGCAGGTGTATTCATATATTGCAGATGAGTAAAAACAAGATCAGTTAAGTTAAATGTCTTCCTGGAGTCACCTGGTAAATAAGTGCTTATGCTGAATATAAATCACATGGTTTTGATAAGTACTTCAGTGTCGATTCCACCACAGTCACTAAAGAGTTTAAAAGTTTCCTGTTGGCATGTATTCTTGAGCTAGTGCATACTCGTCTCCTCCACTGTTTAAATCCTTGATTTTCAAATTTTATCCCATAGAACCCTAAAGTTCTTGGTAGTGTGTTAGGAAACACATGGCATGGGATTGGGATCTGAGGGGAAAACTATATAGGAAGGGCTGCCCCTTCAACCAGAACTGCTCTACTTTTATCTCTTTTATGTTGTTTAAGATGACCTCTGAGTTTAGCTATAGGAATAAAGGCAGTCCTTAATCAGCCCTCATGAGTGATCAGATTAAACATTCAAAACACACAGGCTTTTAAAGATGCAGTTTATTTAGAGGTTAGTAGGCAAGAAGGAAGTAGTAGCATCAACTGCTGGTCTCTACTGTCTTAACCTATAATTTTCCATCCTTTATTATGATGGATGTGATGGATGAATATCTCCTGTTATAATATGGCCTGACTACCACTGACCAACTTTAGTAGCTTGCTCAAGGGAAAGCCAAATAGAAGTAGCCAAACTTGTTTTAGAGTTCTGTTTGGCTTTCCCTTGAGCAAGCTACTAAAGTTGATGAATGGTAGTCAGAGACAGATATCATATGATTTCACTTATATGTGAAATCTAAAAAGCAAAACAAATGAATAAACAAACAAAAGGCAGAAACAGACCCATAAATACAGAGAACTAATGACTGACAGAGGGGGAGGGTGTGGGTGTGGGCAAAATGGGTGAAAGAGAGTGGGAGATATAGGCTTCCAGTTGTAGAAAGAATAAGCCACAGGAATAAAAGGTACAGCATAGGGAATATAGTCAATGGTATTGTAATAGTGTTGCATGGTGACAGATGGTAGCTACACTTGAGGTGAGCATAGCATAACATATAGAGTGGTTGAATCACCGCGTTGTATTCTTGAAACTTAAGTAACATTGTGTGTCAACTATACTAAAAAAAATGTCATTGAAATAAAAGCATGTTGTAGTAGTGACAGCAATGATCAGGCTCACTCCCCTTATAGTATTTTCCTCTCTCTTTGGTTGTGGTAAGCAAGGCTCTGTTTCTCACTGGTTCATCTTTCCTATAGCTACTAGGTCAGCAGTGGTGGCTTACTGCTGGAAATCTCACATTGGAAATAAGGACACATTTCTTTTTGGCTCAACTGTTTTGTTTGGTAAAGCAAGGTTTTCTAATACTAAAATGAAGGAAGAAAGTTTCTCCTGACAGATACTGGGTTTTATCCATATCCTTTATTATCATCACACAATATTTTTTGCTTTCCCCTCTTGTACCACGTATCAAATTGACTGTGTCAAATTACCACCTACAATGGTATTAGTATCATAGGATATAAAGCTATAGGAAGGCTAAAGGGAATTTAAAGGGAACTAAAGAGTCCTGTAATCCTGGTTCTACCTGTGCCCCAGTATTGGGAGGTGGTAGGAAGTTGTCCAGTTTTCATGGACAAAGGTGGAAATTCTCAACATCCTATACTGGAAATTGAACCACAGCCAGTATTTATATAACTGCACACATTTCAATTTTTATATAAATAGAAGTCTTCCATTGGTGGCTTGAGGCTTTAGAACATAAATCTGGATTTTCTCATCTCCCTTGGGAGATTCCTGGGATTACACTAAATTTTCAGAATGATCTTTCGAAATATAAATTAGATATATGTATTTCTCTTCTGACTAAAATTGCTCAATGCCATCTCATCACAGTGAGAATTAAACTGAAATCTTTACTACCAACCTATAAGACCCTGTATGATCTGGCTCCTGGGTTTTTCCAGACCATCCCACCTAAATTAACTACAGCCCAACTCTCCAGTTACCCTCTTTTATATTACCTTGTTATGTTGTTTTCATGGCACTTTTCACTATTAAAAGTACCTTTTATATATATATTTGTTTACATATTTACTGTCCATGGCCTCCCTCTACAATGAAAGCTTCTTATATCTTCGAGGTCTAGAATAGAGCCTATTATTCAATAAATAATTGAATGTGAATGAACAAACGAATGAATGAGTCCCTATGTTACCTTAGCCCACAGACACAGGACCCTGAAACTTTAGGAAGCACACATAAAGCACAGAGATTTTAGTAGACTAGATGTATGTTTATTCTCTGATCTTAGAGCTCTGTCCTCTCATAGGTCTTTCTTCCTTAAATATATGTAACGTTTTCATCTCCTAAAAGCTTTTATTCTGATTACATTTATTTGTTTAAAAAAAATTTTTTTTAATGGTTTTATTTATTTTTGAAGGAGAGAGAGAGACAGAGCATGAGCGGGGGGGGGGGGGGGGGGG